TCTTGCGTACTGCCTGGGTATGGTTACATCAACTTCATACAGGTCTTAGTTCACCACAATGTACACTTCTGAAGTTTGTCGTCTTCGTAGTTTGTAACGCGTCATTTCCGCCCTTGAAATGCGTCTTCATTTTTACTGTAAAGAGTCACTTCCGCGGCATTTAAGCATATTTACCTTAATTGAGTAGTTTACTGGAATCCTATCTTTTTTCCTTTTTTTTTTTCGTCTTTCACCACACAAAACGGTTTATTTTGGCTCGCTGATGACTTTAATATTGTCTCGGCAGAAGCGTATTGATTTCCCTAAGTGAACCTGTTTTACGTAGTAATCCAATAGCAATAATTACACTTGGACCTAGTTACGCGTGTTTACTATCAACAATAACGAGGTGCAATACCTCAGTATGGGCAGTTTACCTTGTCTCGATAGTAACCCGCTGCTTTACCCAAATAAGGACGCCTCAAAGCCCGACCTAGAAGAAGGTTTTCCGCAGCGTACGAAAATCCTCTTCGCTACCTTTGCCATTTAGCCCTCTCCCACTCCTACCTTGCCGACAGGGGAATAATTCTGCTGCTGCATCTGGGAGCTGGGTAGCCGGTATACGATTCCCGCCTATCCAGCTTCAAGATGCAGAAACAAAAGGAGTCCCCCGCGTCAAGATAGCAGTGGGAAAGGGGGAAATCGGAAGTGCGTCGAGAATAATTTTTCTACCTTGCAGAAAACTTTTTTGCAGGTTCGGCTTTAAGAACTGTCCAAACAGGCCACAACAAATGCGGTGCACGGCAAAAAAAAAAAAAAAAAAGAAAATGAACACATTGGCGCGCGTGTACGTTTTCAGTCAGGTCATCAACCCCGCAAACAGCGTGACTTTCCGCCTCGCCTCCGCGCTGTAGGCCCCCTCCCCTCCTTCTCATTTTCGGGAGATAGGGGAGTGACAAAGGCGGAGGCCTTGATGACAGCCAGAAGTGTGCGAGTGGCTGGCCGGACCCACGTGGTGAGCACGCTTCTAGCTTTTGCACAACGACGGAAGCGCAGGATATGCTTCCCCCTGGCAAAAAAAACAACAAGACCAACAAAACAAACATGTCCCAAAGTGGGCTGAAATCGGAGGAAAGCCTCCATCCCGCTACAGCGAATGCAGTTAACTGCAAAAAATGTGACCTCTTTGGACATCCCTTGAGCTTTCCGCAATAGTTGGGTGCGGAATTCCTCCGTGGTAACGGATACTTTAGCCCGTTTTACTCCGACTCGTCATCAAATCTAAAGCGTTAGATAGTGGCACTTTGATTTCCCTGACGTTGAGCTTCGTGTCACCTCAAAAATTCTTAAACCTTTTTTGTGCCCCACTAATATAAATGTTAAATTCTCTAAAAAAAATTAAAAAATTGTTGAATTTAACGTATTACTTTATTTATAGAGCGTGTCCTCGAAAACGGATTTGCCGGGCTTTTTAATCGGAAAATTAGCACGTATCGCCGATCGTACATCATCATCATCATTTTTTTTTAAGGCTAAGGGTGCATTGTACAAAGGAGTGAAAACTTCAAAAAACAAATAAACAACACAGATATTTAAGAACAAAACACGCTGCAATCTAGTTATAGGTTAGAAAAAATATGGTAATGGCTGCTGCAAATTTTTTAGTGTCAGATTTGGGAACAATTAGGTCAGGCAGTGCGTTCCAGCCGTCAATGGCCAATGGTAAAGTAGACATTTGGTGAGTGACGGTTGACAATGAAATCAGACAGAGTTTACGAGAATGGTCGAGGCGAGGGAAAATGCGGTAAGGAGGTGATAGCAACCTTTGTCTGAGATGACTGTTGCAATAAAAGATCCAATGAAGAAGAGAAAGACGAGACACCCGTGGCGGTAAGAAAGCATGTCATGGTTCGCTGATTGGCGAAATCTTGATACGCTTGCATAAGGGGAATAGCCGGAATAAATAAAATGGAGGGCTTTGCTTTGAACGGATTCCAGGATGTTGGTTAGGTATGCCTGCCGCGGTGAGCATATGGAAGAAGCGAATTCTAGCTTAGTTCTGGCAAAGGTAGCATGTTGTTTTACTGGGGATGTAGCTTGTCTGAGGTTATGGCGAAGAAATCCGAGAGTGCGGTTAGCATCGGCGATGACAGATGTTGTGTGAGATCCCCGACAGTCAACTTACAAATGTAGTGCTAGTGGTTAGGACCAGATCCAAATTTTCAAAACGAACGGTTTGGTTTTCTTACTCGAAAGATATAAGCAATTCTCGGATATTTTCAATGCGAAAAATGGTGGCCGATCAAGTCCATGAATACATGGGGCTGAATGACTCAAACTAGGGGAAACGAGTGCATTTTTATTGAAATTTTCAAAAAATTACGTTACGGTAGTTACAGAACTACGGAGCATGCAAATTTGACAATGCATGTGGCGACAGGCGTCCCTCTGGAATCACTAGGCTCAATCATTCCTAGGTGAAATTAAAAAGAAATAATTTGTTTAGCATATGACAGCGTAGCAAAGTTTTTGTCTGGCGGGAGTCTACAATATGCCTACCGGAATAATAAAGTAATGAAAAACATGCCTGTTTGCCGCAGGATGCGCACGCGCGTGACGGTTCGCATGCAAAACCGAGAACAGGACTTACGTACCTATAAATAGTATCTGCAAGCTAGTTAGGGATGTATCGATAAAAGTCCGAATTTTTTCACCATGTCAAAAGGCAAATAACAACCGCCCATATAAAGAAATAATCAATAAAGCAAAAAGTCACTCGGTTTAGACATTTCATAATCGAAATGAGGGTGTGATAGCACTAGATGCAGTTTGTGATGGAATATTTACATCAGGTGGCGTCGATGTTTCGGCTAAATTGAGCGAAAAATTGACCTTAAGTTACCTATGGTCACGTGACATGATTTTACGGTGTCACGCGGCCTGACACCACATGCCGTCAGGTCAAGGACAACGATAAACTTTGAAGTCAGTTTTCCCGTTATATTTAGCGGGGAAATTCATACCGTGTGAAATCATAACGTCACGTCGCTTTGGGACGTCATGCATTCAGAGCAACACGAGCAAGAATGGCCCGTGCGGTGTTTTCATTCGAAGTCATGGCTTTAAAATTAGTAGAGCAAGAAAAGGTCAGTTAAAAAGAGTGCTTTTCACCTATGCTATTTTATGTTAGGAATTCACAGAGAGTATCACTCACCTCGATGTTGTTGAAAAAGAAGTGCGAGTCTTCGAGGTAGAAGGCGGTCTCCTCAATTCCGGGTCCATATTGCACCCCTTTCGTGATAAGGAAAATGAGAGCAACAAGACGCAAGTTATCGTCGTCTTATTGATTCGTTTTGAAATTAGGGCATCATATCAACGATCCTGGATGGCATCCCCCCCCCCCCCCCCCTCGCCCCGCTCACCTCGCAGGAGCCGGGTTACGATATTGTAAAGATTGGAACGGCGTATATATCTGGTCAGATGCTCTGAAAACACTCGAATTCTCTCTGAGGCGGTATACTGGTTGTACCTCGAAACAAATACGTATCGAGAATAAACATTGTTCACAGATTTTTTTACATTTATTACTTGAATACACCTGGGGCGTCTGTCTACTTGCGCAGCCACAAAGCAGACCGGCAGGCATGTTTTATATTCAGTATTTATTAACTTCTAATAAGTGCCCAACGACACATCTTGAGCACCTTTGAAGTCTTGACTGGGGATCGCGTGCGGGCCTTTAGTGATAATTTTATTCTGCGATCAGGGGTGAATTAGTTTGTCAACGTGACTTTCAGTCAGAAACACATCTGCGAAAAATCGTCTGTAAATTGCGCAGAATTCACGACACACAAAAAATTGTTTCAATCTACCTTTAAAAAAAAAGAACAGTAACAGAGATTTACTGCACTTTAACAGGTTTATTGTTTCGTTAAAATTGTATTGAATATTTCGTGCGTTAAATGCCGGCCCCTGGTTCATTGTTTAAAATGATGGTGTGAAACTATTTTATCGTGTTCCAAAATTCGCGCGATCTTTGCATCGTTTTTCGCGCCCGTATTCCCGCCTTTCATCAACTGTATGAAAGTGCAATTCAGCAAGTTTGGTACTTTTAGTAAATACCGCTTAGAATTAATACTCCACATTTAAAATCTATCAAACACGCCTTAGGTATTTTTTTTAATTTTTTTTTAAAGTCCTTATGCATCCAACGTTTGCTACTAAAAAAAATATTCGAGAAAAACGAGCAGCAGTCACTTTTTCAACTCCCAACCAGAACAATTGGCCACGCAATGTAAAGCCGATTACTTGCCGCCAATATTTATATTATAGCCACGCACTGGGGTTGGCAAAGCACAAAGTACGCAAGGAGTTTCACAGATTGTTAAGGTTCGCCTATTGTCGTCACCGCAGCTAATGGGCGCAAGCCACCATATCCGAATTCATGTCGAGGCATTGATTGTCACGAACCCAAATCGAATGCTCGCGCAGTGGTCGAGTGCATTCCATGAACCGCATTCAAAACATCGTCCCCGAGGGGGATCGGAGAGCTCGAGGACGAAATCCTGGGGATCGCATGGTTGATAACGCCAACAACGCAATCTCCACAACTTCGTCATCAATTCTTGCGAAGGAGAGATAGAAACAAAACGCCAGCTTTTACTCTTGGAATTACGTGGTCAGTCGAAGAAGTTTTTTTTTTTTTGTTTCCACTGGTGCCACTTAGCTTTCGTAAATTTAGAAACATTTCTAGCCAATATTGGTGTACGGCCCCTTTAAAGTAAAACGGATTATCGGTTCTGTCGCTTCAACGACGTGCTGCGCGTAAGATGCAGTGGCCAAAACATGGCGTCCGCCAGTGTTGCTTGATGGGGATATCCGTGTACCGTGCGGGAAAGTGAACGCGCGGGCAAAAGTTTGAGTAAATTGGAGCCGACAGGGTAGCGAGGTTTCTCGCCACTTGTCGAGTGACCCCGGCTGACTCCGGGTGACTCTAAAGCGGCGGCCCCCTCTGTTGGCAGCGGACGGACAGTACGGCGCAGACGGCAGTCCATCCCCGCCTTCCAAGGCCGACGCCCTCGGACCTTCCGCCAGGAAAGGTGAGTGTGGAGCGGAGGCAATGGGGATCAGTTGACACAAGTAGAGACAGGCCAAATATTTTGGCTGGCCTTGTTTTGTTTTTTTCCAATTCTTTTTATTCCATATCGTGGATTTTAAAACATGGTTCCCAAGAGTACCCTCATGATTTCCCTCGAGTTCTGAAATTTCCTCGACCGTTCCTACCATAAACAAATACATTTTCCAGCAAGCACTCTTCCAGTAGGCGTGAGCCACTCACGCGTAACTTAGGGCCAAGAGCTCCTAACACTTCGTTTCACTTCGACAGAGCCGCGACAAAAGAGCACGTCGTCAAGGCGCTCATCGCCGTGAGGGTATAATTTTGACGCTCTTCGATTGGCTTCATTAAATGATAGCGTTGGCCGTGATTGGGCGTAGTGTGAAACGGATTATCCGCATGGAGTGCACATCAGCTCGTCGTAATTTATGTGTCTTTGCGCCAGCCGCCATGGTTGCGCTGGGACATCATATCGATCGTCATTTCGCCTCCCAGCAATCGAAACCAATGAGATTATCATAAAATGTTAGCGCGTTCAACATTGTGATTTATAAATACTGACGTATACGCAATAGTGCCGCTCGCGCAGCTGGTGAAGTAGGCAACGCGCGCGTGTCCTAACGGTTATCGCGCTTGCCTTCCACACGGAAGGCCAGGGTTCGAATCCTGGCCGCGGCTACAGTGATTTGTTAGAGGGAACGCACCTTTGAAGGTCAAACCCTTTCTTTGTGTTCAGTAGTGTTTTCACCTACGTTCGCCGGGTCTTGTCATTTTTTTTTTTTTTTTTTTTGTAGAGACGGACGTTGGAGATGGGGTATATAAAGCGTGTTCGAAATCAACTTTATCAGCTGAGTTTGAGACGTTGCCTCCTCTTTTACTACCTTCTGTTGTGTTCTCTTCCTGCCCCAGTCTCAGGTTTACACAGTGTTGCCATTTTAGCGATTTTGTCGCTAGATTTAGCGATTTTCTATACATTTAGCGACGGATCTTTTTAATTTAGCGGCTAGCGACTTTTCTAGCGACTTTAATGTTCAACCGTAATCTTGTTATTTTGAACTATTTTAGAGATGCTCGCGGGCTAAACCCTTTTGCTTCTCTAGCCGAGTTTGCTTTGGATATATGCTCAATTTAGCGGCGCGCTTAAAAAAAATGTCAACACTGTAAAAGTGCAGACCATCTCTCCCGCGCTCACGTACCCACGTGCTCTCCGCCAAACGTCATCCTGACTATAAGAGCTGGCCTCAAAAGGCACGCAAAGACGTGTTTCGACTACAAACTTCCAGAAGAAGTTGTACGGCGAATTGGCACAGCTGAAGCCTACAAAGCTGGCAACGAACCGTCGACATCGGCAGATTTAGGTGACTTGAGTGCGGTCACCATCGAGGAAGAACACTTCGTCTTCTAGACTGTTCCGTTGAGCTGTTCTTGAAGACAAAGCAGTCATTATTTCAGTGTTAAAATTGACAAGTACCCGTTTCTTATTTGTACTTTCGTACTTAGCGCCTAATCGTTTCCCAAGTAAAACATTAGAAATAAAAACCGTCCTAGTTGTTTTTTAGTGTAAGTTTAACCTCTCAAAATACCTGAGATATGATTATTTGAGGTTCACTTACTTTAAAAGAATTTAATAAGGTTTTGGAATTCAGCGAATATTTTAGCGACTTCCTGGCGATTCTCGCGACTGTTTAGTGACTTCCTGGTCTCAATTTAGCGACGCGCACAAAAAGAAGATGGCAACACTGGGTTTACAATCATGTACACATTTTTGTTGACACTGTAATGTGATGTCCTGGTGAATTCGAGAACCGTCTTTCTGATTCGAGGTTAGAATGTTCTACGCGCCGAACCTTCTACGCCGAACGACCCAGAAACCCACGGGGTACATAAGGGATTCCGCCAGGCGAGCGAGTTCAGTTTCGCTCCAGCGTTCGACTCTGCTGCTACGCCGACTTCGACGCCCGCGACGCTCTGTTATTATCCTTTGTACCCTTTTATTTTTGGCACAAGTTCGCCACATTAAACGTTTATTTCTTTCTGTTCATTTATTGTTTTTGGTCACTACCCGTGACAATAGTTAGAGTGACAGATCATTAAAAAAATGTTTGAAGTCTCTACTTCTTTGAAAAGATTAAAGATATTAAAAAAATTAATAAAGGTTTGCGTTCATACATCTTTGCCCGACGATGACCTGTGCGAGAGCCCATGTTTAATAAGTAAACATTTGTCCCTGAAAACGTCAAATTACGATACAATTTAAATAATAAGAGGGTAGAACCCGTGAAAAGCCTAATTTGTGGGACCGCCAGTATACACCAAACTCGAATACGTGATCGAGGGAATCCAGCCCCCTAAACTCCGGAGTCTTTGACGTTACATTCCTGCGCTATGGCTGTCAGATTTCGGCGTGCCTTTGTTTTGTTTTCCTCCGGAAATACATAAAAAATAAATAGTTATATTATCTTGACCGAATTATGCGTCACTTTGCTTGACGAAAAAAAAAATAATTGGTTCGTTAGAGACGCCTTCATCTTCGTAGATGCGCTCGACATCTTGAGACCACTGTTAGTCAGTCTACTCTGCACATGGTGTGGTAAAATACGTATAAAAATTACTTGAAAGTAAGTACAAAGTTATTCAGAGATTATGTACTTCAAGAAAAGTATTAAGTACACTGTGTGAAATGCACTTGTACTAAGGTACTATGAATACAATGTGCTTTCAAAGTAAAGTACAAGTACGTTTTAACCCAATCTTTCATAATGCACTTTCCTTCCCTTGTACAGTTCTTTGTGTTTGACTGGTATGTATTGACCCAGGGGCAATCGAGGATGGATCAGCGATTTTTGAAAATGGTGGCAAATATTGGATGAAGTCAACAGGCCACAGAGTAGCTACAGCTTCGGAAAATTAGGGAGTCCGTCTGATTTCTGAATTTCGCGCTGCTTGTGCTGGCTTTCACCTAAGGGGGTTAAACGTGGCATGATGTCATCCCCGAAGCTTCTGAAAGCAATCCTTTCGTGAAAAGTGTAATCTCCTAATATTTTTAACCTCCTCGCTTGCGCTGAAAAAGCGAGAAGTAGCGAGAGATCGAAATGCTGCAGGAAAGCCGCCCGAAGTACGAACGAAGCGATGCATCGTCTGCTTCCGTTTCTGGTTGAAGTATAATATCCCTTCCAATATCTCTGCAGGAGTTGACAACACATCATTTCGTTATGAAAATTTAACCAAGACCCAATTCGGGGAATGTACTTTGATATGAGGACTTGTACTTTCTTCTGAATATACGAGAAAAATACTTTAAGTAACATACGAGTGCATCCTCAGAGAATGCACATTAAGAAAAGTACAAGTAGATACCCAGAGAATACGCTTCAAGTGATTTACACGTTTTCTAAACCTACTTGAAATATTACTTGAAGTACAATGTACTTAAAGTACTTCTAACACCTACTATACAGCGTGTGCAGGCCACTTCCGGCGGCCGTGACTTGGGGACAGAGATACTTCCGGTTATCCCATGTTTACCTTGTGTTTTCGGCGGGTGCATGACGACTCTTGGTTCACTAGCGAAAAATTGCGTGGAAGCTACGCTGTAGAAATGGTCCAGCGTCGTGCTTTTAAGTTGCCGATGCGTACCGGCACGAACAAAAATTCACAAATGAAGTTATTTCGATTATCTCGAAACGAGCGGCGCCACCGACGCCGCCGAGCCTGGACGATCGCAGGACGACGACATTGCCAGGCGACATTCGCCTACTTCGATGCGCTGCCGACAGATGGCGCAACGCGATGAACGCGAGAATGCTGCGTCAGCGCCGGCGGCACCTTGACCGAACATGTCTGTACTAAGGACCATTACGGCGCGCTCAAATGCAATGTGCGAGGTTGTATGGAAGATAAACCTCGAATAAGAAAGCAAGCAAGACAAAACACAAGAAATATTGAGCATTGCAGACTTGCGTCGCGCTGAAAGGAAGCGTAATAAAAACTTCCGGAAGATTGTCCGCTATAACCAAGACCCTGCTCGGCGACCTTTGCGGAGAAATTCGTCAAGTATCTTTGGCGCTTGGGACAGTTAGGTGCCCACCGCCGATGCCTTGCCGGTCACAAAGTAGTTTAACGTGTTTAGGGATTTGTAGGTTTCAAGTCATTCTGAAATATATGGACCAGGCTAGTAGAATAGGAAGTCCTGAAGATGCGCCCACGATACCTCCGGCACATTTGCCCCCAAGAAATAAGGAAGACATGTCGATTCCGTATAAGTAAACGTAGGGAGGTACCGCAGTTAGTCCTTGGCGGTGAGAATTTTAGGTATGCGCTAGCCACTGAGGGTCGTCAAAAAAAAAAAAGCAAAAACAACAGCTAACCGGAAGTAAAATACTCCCATTGGAACTAAAATACCCCCCCCCCCCCCCCCCCCCCCCGGAAGTTCGGCCATTATTTGTTTTTGTTTACCTCCGCACACCTTGTATAGACAGATGCAGTTTAAAGGGCGATGGAACGTTTCTTGTACTTTGCGCGAATACGGCTTAGAACCGATCCCTGACGTTAATGACCTGTGAAACACCGGTTCGTTTTCACCACACGCAATTGGTGTCGCAGAAAAAAAAAAAATGGAAGAAAACCGAGCAGCGTTCACCCCCTCATCTCGCAGTCAGAACAAGCGGCCACGTGATCTGGAGCAGAATATATTCTACCAGTGTTGATCATAGCCACACGCTGGGGTTGGCAAGGCACAGGACACGCGCTGAGTTCCAGACGTTGTTATGGGCCCGGCTATTATTGTCATTAGAGCGATTGGACACGGGCCACTACCCGAATGCTCGTCAAGCTATCGATTGTCACGAGCCCAAATCGAGTGCCCACACAATGCTCGGGTTCAATCTATGAGCCGTATTCAAATATCGTCACTGGGCGGTACTGCGACCACCCAGCTACGTTTCGCGAAGCTGATACTGAATGAAAACGCTCGGTTTTGTCCTT